TCAAGTTAAACGGTGGCAGAGAAAGCAAATCATGGTTTGATAAAGTGACCGTTGAATCGGATGGCGATCAGGAAAGTCCAGCTGTGACTCTCGCTTCCACAGCGTTTATCCCAGCGCTCTCTTAGCACCATCGTCATCTTTTCGGCTCTCGCCAACTTCGTCGCTAAACCGGAGGATGAGCGGCCGTTCCTTCCACCGTGATCCGCTGCTACCGTCGCAGCTGCTGACTCCGTCGCAGCCGCCTCAGACCAGTCGGTTGCACAACATATAGGTGCTCTTAGTGCGACGGCCATCGTTTCGGCGCAGTTCTCCTGCTTTGAGATGGGCACTGAGGACGGACGTGGCTGACATTTCGCAATGATTAGTGGACAGTGTCGCGCTGAGTGTTGACACGTGATGTGCGGAAATATTGCTGATTCCTGCATCTTTTGGTTCGTTGAATACAGGCTCGACACGACTCACTTTTAGGAAAAACCAGAGATGTTTTTCCTGTTCGATTAGTCCTTTCGTGTGTCACAAAATTTGTATCATCCCAAAAAAGGTAACGATGGTGCACAAAAGGTTTTGTTCAAGCCATCAATGGTTGCAGAGTAGCTAAGTAGGGATTTCAGCATAGAGAGGCGGCACATAAGTATCGTGTAATGCTGCGAAATGGCTTCGTATTTATTATTTTAAATGAGATGGTATATCTGGGATAACATAATCACGAATACGATATGATCATAATTCATAGTATATGATTGATTCAGCGCATTTCTTTCTCTTTCCAATAAATATGACAGCTGTAGTTTGTCGGAGCCTACAACATAGATATAAGTAAGGTTTGGTTACTTTTCCCTTCAATTATTCCATGCCACATCTCGGTTTCGATCGAAAGCCCCTCTCCTCTCCATACACACACACGATGACCGACGCTGTGACCTGTGTCTCTGTGTGAGGTCGCCTCCATGACCGACACACCGACAGCACCGCGCCGTACAGCGCTGGAGCCCCTCCTACCAACCCGTGTTTGTGCAGCTGTGCGCGGCCAATGCCGCCGCCCTGTGAGTGTCGAGCTGGGCCCCAGTGACCGATAACACCACCCCACGCAGAGAAACTCTGGACCGGTGATCGCTCTGTCCCGAGAGAACAGAGATTGATCTGGGTGTACAGAAGTACGATGGATGTATGGATGCGTTGTATGTGGGTACATACGAGAGACTGGTGGGCTCAAGTGGACACGTGCGGTCGGGTCAGAGTCCAAGAGTCACGAAGGTAGTGAGAGGGCAAGGGCGACTGAGGTGTCCACTCGACTACGGCGTGACTCAGAACGGACAGAGACGCGACACGGCGTATGTCGAGGAAAGTGAGCGTATAGTCGAACAACCGATCGTGCGGCCTTCACCGCTTGTCGTTCTATACCTACACTTGCAGGAAAGGTGACGAGGGTAGGAAAACGACCGTTTAAACACTTTTTAGTGCAGTATTCTTATGTCATCCATGTGAAGTGGATGAGCCCCATGGGTCCGTCTGCTTTCACTCGCTTCGCCAGTTTAGGCACACCGGCCCTGAAGCGGTGCTGGTCCATTTATTCCGCAACCCACACCTTCACGATATACACCGACTTTTTGCCAAGTCTCCTTTAGCCACGGTCTCGGCACGATATCGCATCTCGGCTAACAGACGGTTCCAGTTCGGTTACATTACGAGATTTTTCCGTACGATATTGTACGGTACGCCACGGCACGTCTCAAGTACGTTCACGGTCGTCCCAGTACGGCACGTCTCGGCGTTCCTGACGAGGTCGGCGTCCCGGTGCGGCTCGCTCCGGGCTCTGCCAGTCCTGCACGATGCAGAGTTCGTCCACACCGGCCGCCATGGAGCCAGAGGCGGGCGGTGCTCCACGGAGCCGCGGCGCTCATATTTTGCGGCTCGGCACGGGCGGACGCGCTCGCGCCAATGATGAAGAGCCGATCGTGCGCTGCAGCAGGGGCGATTTCGCTGCAGCAGGCGAGCGCACCGTGACCCTTATTGTCATGCGCTGAGCGCGTGGCATGTTTGCAAATGCTGCCGGTGTCAGAATAGCAATGAGCACGGGCTGGCCGAGTTCGGTGGACATCTCAGTGGACGGCGGTCGGTGGACGGTGGTCGGTGGACGGCGGTCGGTGGACGGTGGAAGGTGGACGGCTCGCTGCTGAGAGGACGCTCCATGGCGCCTGGATTCCGGGACGCCTGGGTACACGTTCCTCGAGACAGGATGCCGAGTCGTCAGGATGCCCGGGCGCCAAGATGCCGGGCGTCGGATTTTCCATGTCCCCCACTGCAAATGGCCGGCTCGTGAGGTGGCTTTATAGGCGGCCACCGACTGGCAATAAGCCGGCGGACCATATGCGGCCGCAGGTCCGGCTGACTACCAGGTCTGACGCGGTGTACCGGTGGCTGAGGTACCGCTGTCGCTCATTTCAGCTACAGCGCTTTGGCGTGCTGGACTAGGAGAGTTAAATAAACAAGACCTAACGTCAACAGAGGAGTACTCGGGCGCGGCGTCGGCACGGAACACTATGAATTAACTTTCACTAGCTAGTTTTAACATTTGCTTGAATAATTGCCGAGTGCAACATAGAAGTGGTTGAAGATCACAGCCTGTATGCATGTCTTTATAATGGAGGCTGTCAAGTAGCACAATTATTTGGATGTGGAAACGGCATTTGAATAAATGGGTGCTTGCTTCACTGTTCATTATCTTGACGACACTGAAGTTTATGCAAAGCTTTCATGAGACATGCGTGTCTTGTGGTCGTTGTTTGATAATTGGTCTCCTAGATGGCAGCAGTTATTCGGGCCTGAAGGTATGCTGCACCGCATGACACAATACGGTTTTGGTTGAACTCTCAATAATAAAAACGTAAGAATACAATAAACAAGTCACCATGAACTCCAAATGGGGATATCTGGTCTTATCTGTGGCCCTCGTTTATCATGTTGTAAGCCGATCGGTTTAAGCCGTATATTATTTTCTACCCATTCACCTAAGCGCTGTGTTTGTATCGCTGGAGATATGCCGGTAGATTTGGCCCACTTTTGTCCTGTTTCATGTGAACACCTGGCGTTTTGCTCGGTTGCCATGCTTTGTAAGCTCAGACAGCTGCATTAAAAGCCGCAGCTATCACTAACACCTGGTATTTCTTGTTGACGAAATCCACCGTTGTAGCTACCGAGAGGTTAACCCGCGCCCTGCTGGGGGGGGGTGTTTGAACACCCCCCCTTGTGGTTTTTCGCGAATATCTCAAAAACGGCGGCGCGGAGCGCCGCCGTTTTTGGTACACCTTACCATACATCAATTCTACACATGTTGTGAAAATTTCAGACCAAGGTCATTCAAGGTCAGGTCACCAGGTCACTTGAAGTGACCTCACCTCATAAAAACTTTCAATGTCTGTCATAGCTACACCGAGTGACCGATCGCTTTGAAACTTTCAGCGATTGCTAAGAGCAATAGCATGTACAAAATGTATATCTCAGAATTTTGATATCGATGACCTAAGGTCAGGTCAATTTTGCGACCTCCCCATTATAAGTCAATGGGAGAAAATTGAAATGCGCCTCTTTTGGATGAAAGACATTATAAACACTCCCAAACACCGAATTACAAGTGGTTTAGACACACTGAACTTGAAAATGGTGTCCGTGACCCTTGTTTATGCCCTGAGGTCATCTTAGGTCACGAATGGTATCTAACAGTTTTTCGCAAATAACTTTTGATAGAGGCATGCTAGAGCGATGAAAACGCCTTAGATGTGTTCAGCTCGACGATACGGATCGACTGATATGCAACATGACCCTTTCCGGTCAGGTCATGACCTTGACCTGAGGTCAAATTTTCAAGTTGACCTTTCAAGGTCAAGTCATAGTTCATTCGATGCGTCTTGACGAGAGGAACACGATGCCGGTAAAAGTAAGCTCGTACAAGGCTTGGGTCAAAAGTTATTGCAGAAAAACTGTTTTTCGAAAAAATCGGCTATTTTTGCAGTTTTTGCCCCCTGCAGGCAAAACCGTTGACGTTAGGTCAAATCTGAGAGAATTACTCAGAAAGGGCGTTAATAGGGCTATCGAATGCGCTTTTCCGCGGCGCTGTAGCTCTATTGGTTCCCGAGTTATGCGTTGGCTTCTTGGAAATTTTCGACATTCGACCTGGAAATCGGCGAAATTTTGCCTTCAATGACCTCTGGTGACCTGACCTTTGACCTGACCAAAAAATTGACCGAAGTGATTTCGTCATTATTTTTTACGCTCTTTCGAACGCCGCCTTCCGCGTATCGCTACGTGGCCCAGGAGCCGAGTTACAAGGGGGGGGGGGTGTTCAAACACCCCCCCCCCAGCAGGGCGTGGAAATCCAGGACCCCCAGCAGGGCGCGGGTTAAAGTAAACAGTGGGTAAATAGCGAGTAAATAACGGGTAAATAATAGATAAACAGCTGGTAAATACAGCTGATGCTTCTGGCGTCAGGCGACAGTCGACAATCAGGCCCGTACATTGGACGGGTAAAGAATGGGAGCCATCGGCCGATCCACAGGGAAGAGCGCCGAATTGGCCACACTCGATGTTCCAAACTACAAACACGGGGTAACACGCGGCATAGTGCGGGTTAGGAGTGTGCTTCCAACTGGAGCATCATGTCCAAGCTCACCGAAGCATCTCACAGTCCTACAATGTAGTGATGAGGGTGTGACTATACCGATCAGCTCATCAGCTCCCCATATCGCCCCATGAGCAGACAACCTCATAGAAAACCACAGTACGCTGGTCTCCTCTTTCTCGTTGTGCCTCGTCTGACAGACCCTCTCCCCGGCATAGTTTATGAACGATCCTCCCCCTCCGTCATGCTCCCCTTGACGTCCCCTCCACTGTCCCTTGACTAGCCTCCTATGTGCTCATTGGCCAACCCCTCCCCCACTCTGCTCACCTGACCACCCATTCCTCCGATGCTCCGAAGTGACCGATCCCCCTTCTCTCTTCGACAGAGCTCCGGCCTACGATGGACGTGTTCGCGCCCAAGAACGTGACCAGGTTCTCAGAGATTCTGTTCGACATACAAAAATACCAGATCATCGTCGGTGCCAGGTGAGACCAGGGCTTATCAAGCCCGTTCTGGGCTTGTCCGGCGTGACTGGCGCGCGGTCGGGAGGGGGGGGGGGAAGGGGGTTGCAGAGCGACCTTGGTCGGTCCGTTACCTAGGGCAGTCCGCTGGGGAGCGGGACTGGTCGCCTTTAGTCACGGCTCAGTCGGCTGGCTGTTGATGGTGAGCTTAAGGTAAATGCTGTCCGGTCGCCACACCCTGTCCAGGTGCCAACCGAGTCGACCGCACCGACGCGAGCCGACTTAGGACCGAGAACGGGATATAACTGTCACTATACGGCCGCAGCCAGTCGGCAGCCACAGCTGGGTGTGACTGGTCCGTCTCTACTCGTTACTCTGGGACAAAACGGTGGGATTAAGTGCTATTGCAGAGGTTCCTTGCTCTGGGAGTCTCCTAGAATGAGAGGAGTGTCTGTCCCCTCGTCATTCTGCTACTCATTCAACCCGCACAACCGTTCCTCCGCCTCAGCCCGTACCGGCTAGGTCACTGTCCTCTCCATTGTCCCACTGCACACTGCATAGTGCACCGTTGTCCCGTGTCGCTGACGTTTGTACGGCCCCTGCCTCCCCGGAGTGATGTGGCGACACTGCCGCTCCGACAGAACTCATCCGTCGCAGTGGCAGAGTGCCTAACGAGCTCATCAGTGCCGTATTGTAACCCGCGGCCGGAGGACCACCGGGCCAGTGCGTGCAGGTGCGGGCCGCGCTGCGCGAACAGGGAGGCGAGGGATGCTCAAACCAACCACGTTCCAGCGGGTATACTCACCGCCGGTCCTGGCGATGTCGAGTCATCTGAACCGGCCAGCGTCGTGACGGCGGCGGCTGTTCGGAAATGCCGCACGCCAAACATGGAATTGGCTGGAGTTTTCTGCGGAAAATGCCATTAGCCAGGCCTGCAAAAATAAGTAAGCGTTTTTGAGTGGGTCATAAAGCTGTCAACTTATCCAAATACAACGAAAATTAATCATGTACTTACCGAATCACTAATATCTCTTTTGCGCAGACGCCTCCTGGTAATCCGTTTAGTGTGTAATTCATCCATGTGTACCTAAACCGTCGGGAACAAGTGAATATTTCAACAGCCATAACGGTTATCAAAAGGTACCTACTTTTCTCATATTCATCAGGCTATTAGAAGGTAAAAATAACTTCATGAGTAATGAAAATGCTTGCATCAGGCGAGATTAGACTACCACTATGGAAGTACAACGGTGACTCAGGTATCGTACCGTACCGTCGAGGCTTATCTCCTGAAAAGCTGCCCCACCCATGGGATCAAACACCGCATACTACAGCCTCCGCAACGACCACTGCAATATTTACGATGGCTGCGACGTATCGCGACGTTTAGGGTGTGTGCCATATCTCCCTCCTGAGCCATCCTACCTGCCCACCTCGTGACGCCGGCGCCATATCAGCCGTATTTTAGAGCCATCCCATGGGCAGATTGCGGACCGAGGCCTCGGCCTCCCCAGTATACACAGTCGTTCATTCTGCCGGCCCTAGTAATGCCGGGTGTGACTGTACCGATTCATGAGTCTCCTGTCGTTTATCGAGGCGGTGTTTTGTCCGACGCCCCCATAAATTCAGAGTTACTACCGCGCTCATTTGTACCCCGCCCAGAACATGTTACGGGGGCGGCGGCATCTTTAGTGGTTCATCTCTCTGTGATAGTTGCTCCACCGGTTACGCTCAGCACGTGCCGACCCGGTTACGTGCTTGGTAATGCCTGTAGCACCTTCCGTGTGTGTTGGCTAATTTCTGCCACCCTCCCTCCCACAGGGACCATCTGTACCGTCTGAGTGTGCGCGGCCTGCAGGAGCTCGAGTCAGCCTACTGGCCGGCAGACAAGGACGCCGTGAAGATGTGCGAGATCAAGGGCCAGACGGCCGTCGACTGTCACAACTTTGTGCGCGTGCTGCACCGCCATGAGTCGCGCCTGTTAGCCTGCGGCACTCACGCGTTCCAGCCGGTGTGCACGTGGCGGCAGCTGGACGCTCTCGGCACCGTGCAGCGGCGAGAGTCGGGTATCGCTGTGGCGCCCTACTCGCCGCACCTGAACGTCACCTCAGTGCTCTCCTCTGAGGGAGATGTGTTCGCTGCTACCCCGACCGACTTCTCCGGCCTCGACCCGGCCCTCTACGGCCGCAAACTGCGCACACAGAAGTATGATAGTCGCCTGCTGAGTGCCCCGGACTTTGTCGGGTCGTTCGAGGCCGGGGATTTTGTCTACTTTGTGTTCCGAGAGGACGCCGTCGAATACATGAGCTGTGGCAAGGTGAGTGTCAAACGAGGAAACGAGGTTTTGTATTTATTGTATTTATGCCTCAATTCTTTGAGATGACGGTAAAATGGCGGAATGTCACTTGTTACTATTAATTATCTCATTGTATTTCTAATGTAGTTAATTTGATTGTAATTTGAATTAGAATATGCATGAGGTGGATGATTGTTTGTCGATATCATTTATGGGTATCCCGTTAAAAAGAAATAATATTTTCGTAACGGTATAGGCCCCAATCAAAGCCATTAGTCCCCGCGAGCGCGACCCGACCTTACCGTCGGTCGATTTTTACCGTCTGTTTGATCAGCATCGTCACCTTGCTGTCAAAACAGAGTACAGATGGTAATCGCGTCCTGTTCGGTGTCAGGCGGTGCCAGACAGTCCGGCGGCGGGCCGGTGACAGTTCACACGGACTATCGCTGCCACACCTGCCACCGAACCGACGGGAAATCGGCGACGATATAACCAGAAGGAAATCGGCACATGGCGACGGAAACCGACGGCAGCTTAGATATCCATTTGCCTTGCCATGGCCTTCAGTGGTCATGGCGTTTTGTATCATTACCGACTCACGGCATCCGTCGATCTAGCGATATAGGCTACCACCAGCCGATGTTCTAATACTTGCCGCAGCTGGGCTCCGTCTCCCGCAAGGCTGTCTCCTGTCCCCACCCCCAGCACACACGGGGACGTCTGCACCGCGCATGCATGCAGACATGCAGACATTCATGATCCTCAGACATGCCGCCGTCGATAAAACAGCCCCCAGGACCCCTGACAGGGACAGGGTGCACAGCATATGGCGGTAATTGCAGTGGATGGAGCCTGGTGGGGCTCGGTGCACCAGGGAAACTGATTACTGGCATCCGCTGATTACTGGCATCCATTCAGATAAGGCGCCAGCACTGCATAATCATGGCGATCATTAACTGCCAGATGTAGATTACGACGGAAACCGACAGCCGACAAATATTTAAATGTGTCACAACGTCGTTTCGTTTTGCGATTAAGCTAGGAAATTCCACTCCCGATTGCCCAACTGCGGATGCAATTTAGAAATTGTTGCGACATCTCGATGCAAGCTGACATATTTTTCGATACGATTCAAGTATGTGATGCACGAGCAAATACGATCGGTTTGCACATGGATTATTTTGTTTATTCGGCTAGATAACCTTACCATACCATGAAACCACTGTTGTCATTTTATTTGACCCACATCATTTGTGTCTCTCTTTACAGGCGGTGTACTCGAGGATCGCTCGCGTTTGTAAGAACGACCGAGGTAACGGTCGACACGTATGGACGACGTTTGTGAAGGCGCGTCTCAACTGCTCTGTGCCGGGCGAGTACCCGTTCTACCTGGACGAGGTACAGAGCATCCACTATCTGGACAGGGAGGAGGTGCTCTACGCCACCTTCACCACACCAGAGTGAGTACCCAGAGATCGGGGAGAGTATGCGTACTAAGTATACTTACCGCGAAATGGGATGGGGAGGGGAAAGGAGGATAGGGAAAGGGAGGGAGATATCAACAAACATTCATAATGTAGTTATAACTACATTCATCCCCGTTGGATACCAAACACCTGTACCGATCCGTCCCGCGCCCATATGGAGGCATTCCTCACGGTGGTTGTCTATGTCTCAGTGGTCTGCCTCACGGAGGCTAACTGACTCAGTGAGAGCTGTCTCAGAGGGCTGTCTCTCAGAAACTGGCAGTCTCAGTGTCTCAGAAGGCTATCTCACGGCGGCCGGCCGTCTCAGTGACTCTGAGGGCAGCCTCCGCACGGGACGAGATATCACGCTCGTAGTGCCACTCGTCTATTGACTTTACTCGCGCTATCAGACTCGGGAGGAGGGGAGGGGGACTGTGGAGACGGCACACTGTCAACTTAGTGTCATTTCTTGAGGAGCCTTCAGAGGCCTTCGAGGAAAATGTCCTTGAGTACTGATTAAACGCACAAGCGAGTCACACAACGACCTTCTGTTCTCCGTCGTATTTATTATTGGTAAACTGAGTTCGATTATCGGCTCAGAGCCTCAGCGAAACGCTGACTTTGACCAACGGTGACAGAGTTTGTGTGTACACATTCACAGCGGTCGGAAGGCTGTCACGCCCGCTGGACTGTCTCCTGTGTTGTCTGACAGCGGTTTGGTGGCAGTCACGCGCGCGGGGCTGGTCGAGCAGGTTAATTACACCGGAGAAACCGAGAGGAAAGTGTCGCTATCCGGCCAGGAATAACAATTACCAAACGATTAAGGCGGTCACGCTCACTCCGGGCTATGCCGTTGGTGTTGAAAACAGCTCAGCGGGGCTAGGGCCCCGAGATTTTCCTGTAAGAGTATATCTAATTCGCTATAAGTATTCAATTTGAGCAGGGTTGTATACCAATCAAGTCGATTGAATTGATTGATTTGATTCAACGCGTATTTTGAGTTGATTGGATTGAGTCGATTGACTTTTCGAGATGACTGGTTGACTGACTCGTTTGACTTTAGCGACTGGTTGACTGATTTGATTCCCAAAAATTAGAGTGACTCGTATGATTGAGTCGATTGAATGGAAAGTTCAAATAAGTTTTAGTAGACGAAAAATAATGACACCAATTGATGACATTAAAGATCACAAAACTACACTGAAAACTGCTTGTCATCACAACTGCAATATGGGGTAGATGGCCAAATAAAGAACAGGGCCTAAACATGAACAGCCAACTTTGACTTTCAACTGCAATAACTGCTCCAATCCTGGTGATAGAACCTGGCGATGCACCTACCTACCTTTCTGCACTCAGCAGGAAACTTTTTTTAATCCAGATGATAAAGTGCAAGGCCCTATATACTAATTAAGTGTGATTAATTAATAATTCACATCTCCACATCTCCTCAGAAACAACCCACTGAACTCTATAAATATCTGAAACCCCTACAAAAATAACTGGAACAAAAGCGCCGTTTTCGTCTCGCTAATTACGTTTCCGTGCTAATTTGCTGCATTGTTTAATTTGCAGCAGAACGTTTGTTGATCCTTTTCTCCTGAGAGCCTAAGCATAACATATTTTATGTATTTCATTTTCCTTAAAATATTTTACCGAATATTGTTAAGTGGTTTTATTTCAAATGAAATAGTAATTAAAACGAAATTGGTGTTGTACAACCGATTTATTTTATGATGATCTACCATACTACATGATAATCAATGACGTCATCTTACCAAAAAATCAAAAGACGTAGAATAAGGCATTGGAATAAGGCACGGAATAAGGATTTATAAAAGCTTAGCATACTTATTGGCAAAACGTTTTCTTTGTTTTTTCGCAGTTCGCACCCAACCGTTTTCGCGTTTTAATTCTTTTGTTCCTACTTCCTTTGTCCTTAACTTTTCCTGTGGTTCCAGAGTCCCTGTCCTCTCCATTTCCTTTTAAATATATTTTTAATGCTCATCCCTATCCCCCAGTCCTAACAGTTTCAAATTGTATTGCAATAATATGTTTTGAATTCTTCATATATAACCTACATAGGTATCTACCTTCGTTGGTACTGTTGGTAGCCAGTGACACATCCAGGCAGGTAAGTAGGTACCTACCTGCTTTCCTGCTGTCTTCATAAAGCATACCTAATGTCGCTAATGAAGTTGTCAAATTTGTAGCACATTTTCAACACTTTCATATGGTGTCAGTGTGACATGAAACCTAGCTAGGTTCATTATGTTCAGGGTTCAATTCAGAAGAGCTCCGCATAACTCACATAAAAGACAGACAGGGGCTTTACATGGGGTAGATGGCCTGATGACTTAGCTGGAATATGGCCAAAATTAAATTGACAACTTTTAGGTGAAAGGTGGTGATTTGGGTTAAGGGGCGTTTGTTGAGGTCAACTACTGGGTTATTTTGCACCCATTAAATGAAACTTCTGCTCCAATTCTACCCATTGAACCTCAATATCATGATCCACCTGACCATCACTTAGGTATCCTTCCTTATTACATAGAAACTTTGAATGGCAATTGGCATGGCAATTTATAATTTTAAATGACAATATTTTTATGTTTCTTCTGTAGGTAGGTAGGTAGGTAGGTACACCAGACTGCTATGGACACTTTTCCAAGTTGGTGGGGCAAAAAACCTAATGTATGTCTTGGTTTGAGGCGTTTGATTGAGTTGATTGATTCCTTTCATTGTCGCGTTTGAGTCGATTGAATCAATTCCCGAAAACTGCTCTGACTTGATTGATTTGATTGGTTTCCCAAATTTGTCGTGATTGAATTGATTGCTATTGATTGAGTCGTATACAACCCTGAATTTGAGCAAACATTTATAAAAAAATATTTCAACAGCAATAATACGCATAGTACCTACGTGTTTGCTTTTTGTGTCGCGTTGTAAAATTGTCCGTTTTGTTTAATCTTTCGAATTATCTATCATTTATTCACTTTCCCGGGATGATGAGGCAGTTTCCTCAACGCCTCACAACTGAACCGTCAATGCTATAGCTCGTATAAAAGATCAGAATGATCACAGCTGTCAGCTGCACATAGCGAAACGGGAGGTCTTGAAATATTATCACAAGATCACAATATTATCACATGTCACATATAGATAACGAAGACCAGAAATAGTTCGCTGTAATCTAAGATATAGAAAGGGTAAGCAAAAACTAAGGTCCATTGGTCGTATACTCAAAGAACCAGTCCCACAACGGCAGCAGTTTCGTAGGGTCTGGTTCTAGAGGCTAGTTGAGCCCTGTGATCCCCGGTGACACGGCCGTGTCAGCGCTGTGTCAGCGCCGGCGACTGCTGATGCCGGGTCGTGACTGGGACTGCTGACCTCGGGGCGCTGACCTGGGGCCGCTGACATCGGGGACCGCTGGCCTAAGAATGCCGACCTCGGCGCGTTGACCTGGGAACACTGACATGGAACTGCTAACATCAGCCTCGCGTCAGCAGTCACCGCCCGTCCATCCGAATCGTCACCTGGGCGGAGACGAACCCAGTCACTCTCAGCATTCATGGCGCTGTGGCCCGCGGCAGATTCGGCGCAGCGCGGCCTTTCCGGCGCCGCCGGTGCGCCACGTCGGCCGTCTGACCACCCCGGAGTCAATTAATGACGCTGCAATCTGTTCACGGTGGGACCGGCGATGAGTAACTGCAGACACCCACTGTGTGTCGTCTATTGGGTTTTAATTCTCGCCTGGGGCGTGTGCAAATTTGCTGCGAGGAAGGCGGTGGTTATAGGGAGGCGGCGGCGGCGGCGGCGGCCTTTCAGGGCGGAGGGCGGCGGCCGACCTGACCGGAGGGCGGGGGCGTCGGTTGCCGACAGTGCCGCCCTCCGTCGCGCCGCTACTATGAAGGGAGGAGGCGCGGTCGCGTGGCTCAGTGTTGGGTAATGCCGCACCCCGCCAATCGCGTCTCTGCACAGTGACCGTCGGTGAGTGCAGCGCTGGCCGGCCGCCCGTCACTCACGTGCGGCCCCTGGCTCTGCGGAGAGTGCGGAGGAGGCGCGAGAGAGGTCGGTGGGTCGACACGTCCCACCGCGGAGATGGGCGGCGGCCTGGACTGCTGACTGACACTGGTAGAGCCGTTATTGGAATAGCGGGACCGGGGACGTCTGAAGTTAGCAACTGGTTTGTATAGCCCGTGCTGCGTGCTGTAGCTAGTGTTGAAAGCTATCGCACGATGCTTGCCATCGCAAGCGAATTTGTTGCATTCTGGATCGCAGCCTTTGGACTGGGACCTGCGCTGTCATTCATGTGATTCTCCCGACAATGTTGAGGGCTATTTCCACCGACTCGTAAATGCCACCGGTCTTTGTGTTCGGCGGCGATTTGCCTTTGGGCCCGCCGGTGATAGCTATCGACACATTCAGTCTGCACCCGTTACCATTGTGCTCGATTCGGAACGCCAGACGAACCGGCTCACTCGCCTTCGTGCATCGAGTATTCGCTATTATTTTTACCTCAGTCTAGCGCATGAAGATGTCCCGATTGTAGCGAATCGCTTATCTGACAATCTGGAATCGTGCTAAGGCACGCTACATTAATTTTGATTTAGCCGTAAAAGTGAAAGGGCCTGGAAAATTAATAGCCCTGCAGAGCAACACAACGTATTTTCCTTCATAAAACAAAACAAAGCCTTCATCGGAGAATCGCTGTATCGACTGGGATGGCTCTCACATGTTGACAGCTGGGCGGTGTTTTACAGTTTTTCTTTCAGTACCAGTCAGTGAGTCAGCGTGGGGCAGGCCGTTCTGGACGCCTCAGTGGTCCGTGTTGCCAGCCGCAATTAACTGATGGCCCTGAGCCGACAGAGCTGACGTGACTGCATGATGAGCTGTCCACTGGCCACTCCAGCACGGCCCGCCGGTGAATAAATGCCTGTCAAGTGTCCCAGATTCGGGCGATGGGCGCTACTGTCTTTGTTTGGCCCGAGTTC